CCGGGTCCCCGACCGCTTCCCGCGGACAGGAGGGACCTGGGCGCGCTGCTGCCGCTTCAGCTCTGCCCGTTCCCTGCTGTCTGAAGGCATGACACCGATCAGCAGACCCAGAGCTGGGTGTGAGCGGTGCAGGAGGGGCAGCGGGGGCTGCTGGCCTCGGGCAGTGGGCCGTACAGCCGGGCTGTCGTGTGGAGGTGACAGGGGCGGAGAAGGGTCCCCAGAGCAGCCTCACGGCAGCTGCCTGATAAGCTGCGGGCACGCTGGGTGCTGACCGATTAGCACGGGCTCGCTCTTCTCTGGCTGTCACCGTGGCTGAGTGGCTGGTTCGTTTTGAGTTAGTTTGTCTGACCGGTTTTGTGTGTGCTGCACGGGTCTGGCCGGTACCGATTGATTTGTTTCTTCCTTGTAGGTTTTTTGCTCTGACTTCCCTTCGCTTGCTGTTCCTGGTTGCCTTTAGCCTCATGGTGGTAGTTTGTCTAGATCAGTGGAAGGGCAAAATCTGGCCTGAAATTGGAGGTAAGTTGCGATGTTTGAGTTGATACAGCAAGTCGCTGTTTTTTAGCCCTAGAGGTATACAGGATCTGCAACACCTGGAGTTAAAGAGTTAAAATCCTGGAGTTTTTGCTTTGTGACTCTAGAAATAGACAAGAGCGCTGTAGGCATGTTCTTCCTGGAGCTGGGAAATCCTAACCTGTATAAACACAAGAGCTTTTCATGCTGGTGACACTGGTGTTTGTCTCATTATCTGGAAGCACCTGGTGTACGTGAACTAGTGCAGGTTTCGATGCAGTGATTCACCTTCCGAGCATTCAGTACAAGAGCAGGAAGATGAAGCATACGTGGAAGACATCTGGATTTTTTCCTCAGGATCTGTAATCAACCAGCTTCATGTTTTAGGACGAAGATGAGTCCCAGCTTTGCTGTTGAGTAGAGATCTCTTTGAAAGGAGAGGCACCTTAACAGCTGTTAATGAAGTTAGTCTGAAGCTTTCGGTGAACAAAGCGGTTCTGTGTCACTGGTGATATTGATACACTCAGTGCCAGCATTCGTAGCAGCTCAGGGTGTGTCGGCTTTGCATGGACAGGTGGGTTTGAAGCAGCGTGTAGGGTTTGCATGCTCTCAGAGGTGGTTCCCTAACTAACTAGCAAGTACAACTCCCAGCTTTCTGCTTCAGCTGGTGTCCTCTGCAGTTCTTGGGAAGACATTAAAGCTTTCCTTGGTTTCTAGCAGCAGCTTGGCTGGGGCTCTGTAGCTGCAGTGGGGAGGAGGTGTCTGTCCAGCTCCCTCCCAACCGTGATTTCGGTTTGTCAGGATAACCGGTTCGAATCCCAGCCTGGGTGAGAAAGTGTCAAAAGACTTAAACCTCTGGTGCTGCCCCGTAAGCAAGCTGTTCCTCCTTCAGCATCTGGTGCGTGCAGGGGAAGGGAGGGAGGTGGAGGTGGTATTTGTAGCTAATACCTGTCGCTGTGACCAGAGCAGCCTTCCAGACAGCGTCCAGCAAATACTGAGGACCCACAAGGAAACTCCCTTGCAGCCTTGCACTGTCACACGTACGCATTCAAAACATGTTGTAGTGATGCGTCCGGTTCTTAATGACAGTTAATGTCTTTTCCAGATGTTCCCCAGCTCATTAAAGCTTTACTTAAATCCCAAGAGCTAAGCATTCTCATTGCAAATTCCTTGCAACTAATGTAGTGTCTGTTCTTAATATTTTAGTGGCGAGACCTGACGAATTAGACAATGAGAGGTAGGAAACTAATTGAATCCTCTGCTGTTTGGTACTTCACTGCGATACCGTGTAATTATTGTCTGCATGAGCTTGTAACATTGGCTTCTTTGAGCGAGGAAGGAAGGAAGGGGGAGAAGGGAGCTGCTTAGTGGAGGAGGATGGAGCCCTGGACTCTCTCAAGCCAATGTGTCAAGTTTTTGACTTGCCCAAGCCATTATATTCATCTTTGCCTCACACTGGCCTCCAGTGATGCTTGCTTGAGTGTTGTAAAACCTCCCCTGCTGCTTCACCCCTGTACCCTTCAGTTAGAGCTGCTGCCTTAAAAGGAATTCCTTTTGTACGGGCTTCCAGTAGCAGGAAAACAGCTTTTTTTTTTTTTTTTTTAAATAATGAAGTCTTCTGAGACTCCGTAGGGAATGTGTAACAGGCTTGTCTCAGAAAGTGTTACTGCAGAGTTATGATCCGACTGCAGTATTAATAATGGGTTGAGAAATGTCGGGGTGTTGTCTTACTAATAACACCTTCCCCTCTCTGGGCACACCTTTCTGCCTGCGCTGCCGCGCCACGCTGGGGGCTCAGCTCCCGATTAAATCACTTGAGCTGTTGCCAAATGACTTTTTTTTTTTTTTTTTAAGAGACCCAAGTACAAAAGGAATTGCTCTGCCTAACCTTCAGGTTCTTGTGAGGAGCAGTTAAGAAGCACTAATAGAACTTGCCAAAAACAATGCCTCAGTAAGGTACAAGGCTGCTTGTAAACCTTGTGCTGAATTCCTGGGGGTTGCAGTTGACTAAGGAAATGCAGAAAAGCAAACAAATTCACTTGATTTGCTTCTGCACTGCCCTTTCCCTCCAGTAGCATGGAAACTAGTCTAAGCCAACAGACTGACTGAAATTACTGCTCCTTAGCTGCTGTGGGGGAACCGGGACACCCGTAGGATGGTACGTAGAAGTGCTGCTTTTGGCGAGCTGGTGTTTTGAAAGGCAGGCTGACCCTCGTCCCTAGAGCCCAGCGGCTGAGGGAGGAGAGAGGGTAGTACTGAGACAAGTGTTTGTAACGAGTGACTTCTGCACTGACACTCTGCAGTAATATGTGTTCCTGAATTCCTTCCTTCGCTGCAGCTGGGGATACGTTCACCCTCGGCTGCTCGGAGTGCCAGAACTCTGTCACCATTTGGCTGAAGCATGGGTGGCTGTGACCAGCTTCTTCAGCAATCTCTTCATTTTCAAGAGGCAAAGCCCTGGAAAGGTAAGAATGTACAGACTTCGGCAGATAAAGCGCTTGGTGTGGAGCCTCTGCCGACCGCTGGTATCCTCCTGTGGTGGCATCCAGCGCTGGCTGAATGCACTCGGACACGGGCGGTGACCGCGGGAGGTCTCCCACCACAACGCGCCTATTAAGTGGTGGAGAGGAATAGAAAGCACCGGCAGAATAATCAGGTTGTGGAGGAGGGAGGAGAAAACGAGTGTCAGCATGTTGATGGTGCTGGTGAAGTGAAAATGTAGCTGCTCCTTTGGCGTTTTCTTGCTTTTTTAAGTGTCTGTCAAACTCATCTCCCTCCTTGGATTTTAACCATTTGAGAAAGTGTGTCATGCTTTTTCTTTTTTTTTCCTTCTTTTTTCGAGGCTTATGCAAAGAGGAACATGTAATACAGTGGTACTGTCCTTGTCCTTTCCTCCTCTAAGAGCTCTGTCTTCTTTAGCCCCATCCGTGCTTTTAGCGTACCTGCTTTGGGAATCTCCTCGTCTCCTGCGGCAGGAGGCCTGGTAGCTGCCTGTCGCTCTGAAGCCAGATACCTCCCGTGTCTGCGCTAGTCCTGGGCAGGGGTAGTTGAACGCTAGGAAGGCTTTGCTGTCGTTAGAATTATGACTTGACCTAGAATCTGCAGAGAACAAGACAGTCGAGAACGAGTGAATCCACTGCTTAACCTTGGAAACTCACCATCTGCCCTGTCTTCAGTTTTGCCTCCTAGTGTGTGGAGTCTTCACTTTCCTGGCTGTCCTGGGCCGGTATATCCCTGGCCTTGTGCTCTCCTACCTGCTGTGTAAGTAGATCTCCATGACAATGCAGACTTACAAGTGAAAAGGGGCAGAAATGAGTGGGATCCAAACGTCTGAGGGGTGGGCTCTTCTGCTCAAAGGAAAGCTTGTGTGAATGGCTTTAAAATTTAACGTAACACGTTCTGCCTGGAATGTGGTGGTTCTTGACCAGGACTCTAAGGGCTCTGGTCCAGAGAGAACATGTTTGAGTGCTTAGTAACTCCAGATCTGAGCACTAGGAGGCTGGCCTCTCAATTTTGTTAAATTGGCAGAGGTGGTCGCACCAGTTCTAACAGCTTCCGGCAGCATTGCTGTCAGTACTCAGATCTTGCATCCTGCGTGTGTTGTACTGCATCACAAAATGGGCAAGATGTTTGCCACGTAGCATCCTGTGCATTCCCGCTTACCTCAGTGCTCTTCATCCTGCTGTGGCCCCTGGCTGTGTACCACAGACTGGGGCAGCGCATGTACATGAAGCTGGAGCCAGCTCTGCAGCGGCTGGATTTCAGCGTTCGAGGCTACATGATATCAAAGCAGCGAGAGAAGCAACGTAAGTGTGTGCACAGTGTTTCTGACCCTTGGTACCTGAGACAGCCTGGTCCTGGAGCAGGATGGGGCTGCGTGCGTGGCATGGCAGTCACTCCAGGGCCCTTGGCAGATACTTGCAGCTGCCTTGGGAAGGAGGTGAGGCAGCTCTGCCTTCACAGGCATTGCCCGCTAACAGCTGGTGTAAGCTTTTCACGGTGCTGAGCTGTTCCTCTGCTGCCAGAACCATGTGTTCCACATTGTGGCTGCACTGAAAAAAGAGGAAGGACTCAGTGCGAGGCACTTGCTGAGCGTGTTCAGCTCAGCAAAAGATCTGCAGCAGCCCAAGTCAGAAATGGTTGTGTTGCTCTGCTGTGGAACAAAGCATGCTGTGTTGTGTTATGTCCAAGCCTGCCAGTTTAGGGTTTTTCTGCTCAGGATAGGGCTGGTCCTGTTCAGAGCCCTGTCCTGGCAGCAGTAATGACCCTTGGCTCTGGTTTCTGGCAGTGCGTAGCCGATCCCTTTATCAGGAGGCTGTGGATGATGCGAGTGACAGCGAAGAGGAGCTTGCTGCATTCTGTCCCAAGGTAATGAAGCATCTCGGAAATAGAAGAGCTCAGCTGAATAGAACAAACTCGCTGTGCTACATGGGCGTACAGCGCGTGGCTGTGTGTCCAGCACGCTGGAGCTGAGTTGGGATAGAAAATCAGATGTGAGGATATTCTTTTAGAGACGTCTTTCCCACTCTGTCTCACTCAAGTATGTCCAGAGCTGCTTGTCTCTAGGCTGGGCAGTACAGCATGAAATGAGCCTTGGGTACCAGCCTCCCCTGAGGGCTGGGTGTCACTGCTGGACACTGGATCAGGTGTTTTGTCTTGAGGCACAGGAGTAAGCTTTCCAGTATTTGATGTTTTCAATTTTTATCTCCTATTTCAAAGCTGGATGACTCTGTGGTCGCTAAGGAACTAACCATCTCTGATTCGGAGCATTCGGATGCTGAGGTTTCCTACACTGAGAACGGGATGTTTAACCTTTCGAGGGGCCAGACTCCCCTGACAGAGGGATCAGAAGGTGAGGGGAAATGGCAGCTTCGGGAAGGTGTGGAATGCTGAGCAGGCGCCGGTGTGACGGGCTGGAGGGAGGGTGCGCTGCCTGCTGTCCTTGAGGTCTAGCTGTTTGATGTCTATCTTGCTGGCTAAGATGAGATGCAACTATCTGTTTTCTCAGAACTGAGCTTCCTTCTTAGTTCTACTGAGCTTCCTTCTTAGTTCTGTGGTGCTTTAGTAGGGCTGCGGCAGCTGCTCTTCAAAGGCAGATCCCGCTCTGCCCGTCTGTGGCTGCAGGGATGCAGGCTGCAACGTAGAGTCTGGGAGGAGGTGTCTGGTTCAGCCTCTGCTGACAGAACCGGGAGGTCAGCAGGCACCCGAATCGTTGCACGAGGGGGAGATGAGAGAGTGTTTGGTCTCTGGGATGACAAGAGACAGTCTGTCTTGGTGAGGTGGTGGCCCAGCCTCTGTGTGCTGCGCTGCCCTTGCCCGCAGGGTGTTGTGCCGTGTATTTAAAGCACTTTCTCCTCTTCTAGACCTGGACGGTCACAGTGACCCAGAAGAATCTTTTGCCAGGGATCTCCCCGACTTCCCTTCGATAAACCCGGAAGCAACTGGCATAGATGACGAAGATGACACCAGCATTGGGATCCCAAGCCTGGCTTACCGCCCACAGGTGATGACAGAAGATCTCCATCTCCCTTACGACCAGGAAGAGTCGGGTGCGCTGCCATCTGTACAGACTCTGACTAACAACATAGCCGGGTTTGTCACCAGGGGGATGATACAGCTGGCACTGTCAGGAGCCCCGCAGCCAGGCTCCTCACGCGGTGACAATCCCCAGAGAGGTGCAAAGACTTATCTTAGAACAGCCAGCTCGGACTTGGACACTGATGCGGAAGGGGATGACTTTGAACTGCTGGATCAGTCCGAGCTGAACCAACTGGATCCTGCTGGCTCACGGGGCCAGTGAGCAGTCCCACCACTTCCCTCTGGTTTTCTGTCGTGCATCCTGGAGGGGAATCCTGGAAGGAAAAGCCGTGCACAGTTACCTAGATCGTCTCCTGTGTGAGTATGAGTGACGTGACAGCCAGTCCTGGCTGGGAACACCACTGTGACTTGTGACTCTGTAGCCTCGCTTGGATTTTAAATAAACTCCACTGGTAATTCATAGGGAAAAGGTGTTGATGTGATAGCTCCACAGTCACCCCTGCGTTGCCCTGCACTGTCTGCCAGGATGCTGCTTGCTCCAAACTTCCTCACCTAAGACAATAAATCTGGTGTCTGCAGCCGTAGAGACCACCGGTCAGACCGACTCGGCGCTGCCACGAACAATCTTGAAGCCAATCTTCATCAGGGGCTGATGCGTAACTGGGTGAACGGGGTTGGTTTCCCCTCAGACCTAGTGTCTGGGAGTTAATATATCCTGTCTTTAAGACAACCATTCCCCGCCCCTACATTGTGCACAGAATCCAGGTCTTCTCTCCCAGCAATATCCAGCTCTGGATAGAAACAAACCCTTTGCTCCTGTTGTGGACACAGCGGCGTGTGGCCATGTTTGTATGTGCAACGACCTCTCATCTCCGGTTCCAGCTTTCTAATGATGCTGTTTTGTAAGAGACGTAATGGCAATAAGATCTCCTGCGATGAGTCCTCCAACGAGTATCTATGTGTGACAGCTGCTCTTGTGTTGCTTTCCTAAAATAACAGACTAACAATTTGCTAAAACTCCCCATGGACAGGGGCAATACTTCCCCGGACGGGTTTTCTGGAGGAGGGAAGAGGTGGAGCTGCTCTGCCTGGACAGCTTTGTCCTGGCTTGGGGGCCAGCTCCCTCCTTCCCAGCCTTGTGGTGAGAACCGAAGAGGGGACAC